CCACGGTGTCTTTTAACTCTTCAGTGTGACACAACTGTCCACCACAGTCTGTTTGTGCGCTAACGTGTTGCCTTTTTGTAATTGTGCTGGTGCTCCTGAATCAAACAGCAGGTGGAGCGCTGGAATAAAACATGACTGTTTACGGGACACCGCACTCACCAAAGTCGCGACGGGGCTTTAACTGTGGCGACTGCTAGCAGAGGAAACAATAAAATGTTATCGAATAATTTCAAATTTATGACAATTTCTCCTCATATTTAGACGCTCTGCCTCAATTTGGCTTACATGAAGCAGCACTTGGATAGTGACGTCACTTCCACAATAGCAAAGCTTCGCGGAAGTATATAAGTAGTGGGCAGGCGTTAAGGCTGTGCCTCTGAATGATGATTGGATGTCGCTGTAAGAGGCGGAACCACGCTTTAATTGACAGCTTTAAAAGACGTACAGAATAAAGTTAGACGTGCGATAATTGTCATTTTACGACAGTTGAACCACCTGTACTCTGTATAAGTACTTAATAAATAATAATACATTTTATTAAATATATTCAGAACTCTCAGGATCCGTTTAAAACGTCAGACAACAATGCTTGGTCATAGTAAAAATAAAAATAAAAAAGGCTTAGTCACAACAAAATACAATGTCTGAATAAAAGAAGAGATGATGGATCTGTTGTCGAAGATATTTTTAGACATAACCTTGTATGCGGTCCTGCTGAGATGTAGTAAAATCCCTTCTTCTCTGACAGGATGAGGAAGAAGCAAACTGCCAAACAGAGGAAGACAGAGGAGACTGCAGTTGTCCAGGAGTTTGCGGTTGAGAAGATCATCCGTCGCAGAATCTTTAATGGAAGAGTCGAATACTTCCTGAAGTGGAAAGGCTTCACAGAGTGAGTCAGAAGTTACAACATATGAATGGGTTGCTGTGAGATTGTGAAGGAATGGTAAACCTTACTGGAAACAAACGTCTCAGTATTATGGGATGGCACTCGAGCCCTATTAAATGTTTATGGTAAAATTTAACACGTCCTCATTCAACACACTTTGCTTAACATTTGAGCAACAAACCTCTCTCCCCCTCAAATGAGTGTTTTCTTCCTCTTCTCCTCCTCAGTGCTGATAACACATGGGAACCCGAGGACAATCTGGACTGTCCTGAGCTCATCGAAGAGTTTTTGAGGAACAGCCATCTGTCACAGCAGAATGAGGAAGAAGACACAGAGTTTATTCCCAAAGAAGAAATGACTGAACAAGAGACGGGAATTGTGAGTACGAGGAATACGCATGTTTGGACATCTTATAAAAAATAATTTTTCCATGATATTTTAAGAACATATGAACCTATATTTGTGGAAGAGAAAAACAAACAAAAATGCTATTGAAATACTTTCGTGTAGTGTACTGCATTAGTACCTACACTATGCACTGACTCAGAAAAATGAAAAAGCTCTTTCCTGCTTTAGACTAAAAGACTGTGAGCACATTTGTAGAGTTTGTCGCTGCTTTCGGAGAGTTTTAAGGCTGAGTATTAAAGCAAACGGAGTGTGAAGGTGGTTCTGCGGTTAGTTTCACAATGCCCCTGGAAGTGAAAGCAGTTAAATTTCCTGTTTTTTCTCATTGATTTTCTTCTAATACAGACGCTGCCTTGAAAGTTTCTTCTGTCCTTTGGCTTATTTTTGACTTCTTGTTCCTGTGTACATTTGCAGCAGAGGGATCACACTTTGCCCACTGACAGCGGCGTCCTTGAGCCTGATGAAGAGCCGTCAGACCTCAGCGCTCACCTGGTCCCTGAATGCATCATCGGCTCTACAGACAGACAGGGAGAACTCATGTTCCTCGTCAAATGGTAACTGCGCCACTTCCCTAACCTCAGGCTCAGAGACGAAGCCTGGGGTTTGGTCACGTGTTTGTGGCAAAATGAAGGTTGATCGGTTCAGGTCATAAAAATGAGAAAAGCTTTAAATGACAGATGTATGAAGTTGTTTGGAGTTGGTGTAGCTGAACAAGTTAGCTTTAAATAATATGTATCAGGTTAGGATATGAATATTTTGAGCACAGTTTTACTGTGTTTTGCTGAAACACATGCAAATAGATAGATAGATATTGACATACATTATATGTATGTAAATATGTATATAGAAATATATATTTATATACATATACATGCATACACCTATATATATGTATATATATAAATATAAATGTAGGGCTAAATATTAGCATTTAGCAAGTTAGTAAAGAAATAGGTAAAAGATTAGATTTCCAAAATCAAAATTAAAATTCACTGTTAGTGATCCAATGATCCCCCACTCATACAATATTTTATAAAATTCTCCTTGCTTCTCTCTTCAACAGTAGGGAACTTATATCCAATTTTTCCACGGTACTTAAAGACACATCTGCTCCATGTAGAAAAAAACAGAAGTTGAAGTTCCTCTGTTTCTACTTTATCTCTCAACTGGTACCATTGTTTTTTAGTGATTCCCACACAAACACACACAAAATCACCTTTCCATAAAAGTACTGCGGTATTGATGTCACTCTGATGTTCTTCCTTCCCCCCACAGGAAGAACTCGGATGACGTGGCCCTGCTGCCTGCTCGTGAAGTCAGTGCCCGGAGTCCTCAGGTGGTCATCGACTTCTACGAGCAGAAGCTGACGTGGCACTGTGGAGAGGAAGAGCAGTAAAGAGTCGGAGTGTGTGAGTGTGTGAGTGTGGAAACACCAGGGTGTGTGCTCACCTGAGGTTTAGTGTGACCTTCATCCAGTCTCCTCCTCCTCCTCCTCCTTTAAGCTGAGATGCTTTGTATGAATTCTGTCTGGATCTCGGCGAGGGCCAGTATTTAGGACCTGTGGTGCTCAGTAACGTCACCGTGCCTTTGGCTGAAAGCGGTGATGGCGATTCAGACTAATGTTTGTGCAGCATTTGCAGTCATTTAGGGTCAAACTAACCAGTAGCAACTTTGTGTCCTTATGTAGCAGGCATAATCACTGTGAACATGTTGTTCCTTTTTAGACTTGCTGTTACACATTAATAACTATAATACTGTACTCTATACTTGTGTGTTTGTGGTGTACACACAGTACACTAACAGTACCTCCAGTCCTTCCACTGTAGGTCAGGCGTGTCCAAAGTCTGAGTCAAGAGCTGCTGCTAATCCTCACGTGGATTTCTGTGTGGGGTCAGGTTTTATGGGTCACTGTCGGGGGTCAGATCAGACCATGGTGAACTGTAGACGTTTGAGGGCATTTTGAATCAGATCTGGACCAATTCTTTCAGTTTTGTGAAAAACTTTTTTACTCCTATCAGTGGATCTTTCAGACTTCTCTTTTAGGCTATAGTAGCTTAGCCATTTAAACTAAACTCTGTAGATTCTTGTTACCAGTATGTATATTTCACACACATGCACACACACATATATACCTATACATTTTCATCACCATTTTAGGGTCAAGTACACAGTGGTGGAAATTTGCACCTGTGACCTTTAGCTTGTTTTTAATCATGTTTTCATATTGGCCAGTATGTATTTTTTTGTAATAACCATTTTTTTGTTCCACATGGGTTACATTTTAATTTAGCTAATAGTTTCTTACATGTTAAGCAGTGTGTTGTGGCCATTTGTTGACGAACTTTGTGTCTCTTAACAACTTCTTTTGCCTTTTATTTTTAAATAAAATCATACGTTATGGAATAATTATTTTATTTCAAATAGAATGCATTTTTATGTCTCTATATTATAGTCTTGAGTATCAAAGGAAAGCAGTTGACCATATATGGTCTGGACCCTGGTACAAACCTTTGGACACCCCTGATCTAGTTCTAGCTTTTACTGACAGTTGTATAGATGTTGTTTGTTGTTGTATATGTGTTAAAATATCTACAGTTGTTTTAGTTTTTTTTTTCTGAAGTGTTATCACTTTATCCTCATGGTTAATGTAGAATATTAAAATAAAAACGTTGTCCCGCACATATTTTCCCCATTCAGCTGCTGTTAACCAAATGTTGTTATTTTTTCCTCCTGCTTAAAAGGAATAATCAAAATTATTGGAAGAAGTGCTTTAAACTGAAGGACAAAGAATCCCCTCAGAGCTTTGAATGTGATTTGAATTCAGCATAAATCTGTGACATTTGCACACAATGATCTGTCGTGCACCTAATTGTGACTAAAAGGATTGTTAAATTTTGCACTTTATGAAAAGAGACTGTTTTGATTCATGGAAGACGGCGTCCACATGCTCCACTCACTGCACTCAAATATCCTGACCTGAAACATGTGCTGTTTTTATGGGACACTCAGCTGAACCTTCAACCTCCTGAAACACACCTACTACTGAGGAACTGTCACTGTAACTGACCACAGATCTGTGAATAAAAGTGAAACCTTTGTGACACTTAGGCTCTGGTTTCTGTTTCATGTGTTTAAATTTATTGTTACGTGTGTTTTTTTCTTTTTTTTAATGGATAATTGTTGATTTATTTTTATTATTTTTTTTTTTTAACTGGGGAGGAGTTTAAGTCTCACGCTGGGGTCTTGTGAGTTTATTTTCAAACCTTTGCTCCTGGACAATACAGATGGAAATAAAAGGCACAGAGCTGAGTACAGCATAATCTGGTGACTTTAGACGACGGAGATTTGAACCAGAAAATGAAAGGGGAAACAGATGATGGCGTTTTAAATCAGGTAGGAAAATGGTTTGAAATCCAAAAGATAATTTACATCGTAAAGAAAGTTTGGAAACAAAGGCATTTTGAATATTAAAATCTACTGCAGTGTAAAGTAACGGTGTCTTCAAGTGTCTACAGCTTTAAATTCAGATCTTTACAGATTTAATTGTGATTTCACATTATTTACAAGTAAAACAAGGATTTAAACAGTGTTTACGGATTTGTCTTGACAAAGTATATTCTGAGGGAAGATTTGGGAATTCATTTAGAAAAGAAATCATTGGAAAGAATTGAATTGTTACTTAACTGTCTATTTACATGCATACTGGTTAATTTGTATTCTATTTTGATTCCATAAACTCTATATCCATTGTGAAGTAATAAATAAATAAATAAATCCGCTAATGGAGTTGTTTAAATGTTTTGAAATAACATTTTCTCAACCTACAAATTTCTCTCAAAGGTCAACTTTAAAGAACTAACTTTTTTTTTATTTCTGTGCAACACTGGACGTTTGCTGGGAGTTTCCGACTCTGACTCTTGGTCACAACACTTCCTCTATGTACACATACAAAACTTCCCTTTTTATCAAACTTATCTGCATTAAACGCAGCGTCTGAGCATCACTACTGTGGATTTTCTCCATGCAGCAGGTCATCAGTGTGTGGGTTCGAGACCCGAGGATCCAAAAGAATGACTTCTGGCACGCCTACATAGACTACGAAATCTGTTTACACGTGAGTAAACTGTTGGATGGAGATGTTTGGATATTTACGATAATCCACCGTGACCTTTGTGACACCAGCTGTGTTTCAGACCGACAGCGTGTGCTTCACTAAGAAGGTGTCCAGGGTGAGACGGAGGTACAGCGAGTTCGTGTGGCTCAGACAGAAACTACAGGCAAATTCCCAGCTGATGTGAGTTCCCCCGGCCGTGCTGTGACCCATCGGCTCTGAGAAACAGAGGAAGTCTCCGCAGTCTTACTCTACCTCCGCCCTTGTGTCGTTTGCAGGTCACGGCTGCCGACGCTGCCCCCCAAAAACCCTTTCTTCAGCATGAACAACGCTCGACAGATCACCGAGAGGATGACCGGCCTCCAGAACTTTCTAACAGAGTGAGAATGACTTCATTTGATCAATACCTGCCTGGACTTTGACACACAGTGTAACCATGAAAACACGGGGTCATGTGAGCGGTGTGAAGTCACGTCTTTGTTTTTGTTTTTGTTACACGTGTTGGTGTGAAGTCACGTCTTTGTTTTTGTTACACGTGTCTGCCAGGATCCTCCAGAGCCCTCAGCTGCTGTCCGACAGCTGCCTTCACCTCTTCCTACAGTCTGATCTCAGTGTGTCCAGAATTGAAGCCTGTGCTGCTGGAAGAACCCACTTCTCTGTGGCCCAGGCCGTCCACCGCTGTGGACTGAGGAGGTTCCACTCTGAGGAGGACCTGCACAAGGACGTCAGCATGTGCTGCGACTCAGACTTAGACAGGTACAGTACAGTATAGTACAGTACGGTACAGTACGGGACAATATTTTAGTTTCTCCTCCACCAATAGTCAACTCTTTCCTCAAAAGCAACGGAATTGGAGGGATTTAGTACTGATGACCATGAATGACAGATTACAGATTTTTATATACTCTATACCAGTGTTTCCCAAACTTGTTTTCTAGTGACCCTTATTTTAAAAGTCACAAACCTTCGCTACCCAAGTTAATAGACATTCAATTTGTAAATCACAAAATAAAGGTGTACTTGACCGTTACTGAACATTAATGAGGATATTCCATTGTTGACCCAGTGATATCTGAACAATTAATTAACAATTACTCCTTGCGATGACCATGAACTTCCATTGTTGACCCAGTGATATCTGAACAATGAATTAACAATTACTCGATGCATGATGCAAGACGACCCAAAAAAACCCTCTTGCGACCCACCTGAGGTTCGCAACCCAGTCTTTGGGAAACAATGCTCTACACCAGGGGGTGTCAAACTCATTTTGGTTCAGTGGCTGATGTTTTCCCCCTTTTTTCACGCAAAAAGTCTATTAAAAAAATGTAATCAAATGTTGTTTTACAAAACATCAACTCTTTTCAACACACTGCTACATTTCTCCTCTGTTGTTCCAGCTCGGAGCCTGAGACCAAATCCTTGTCTATGAACAAAGCGGCCAGTACGACTTTGCTGGACCTCATGGCGACCAGCATCAACTCGTCTTCTGACTCCATCTGAGAATATTTCCATTATAACCAGT